GCCGCGGCCTCGTCGTAGCTGCGCTCGGCGCCTCTGCAGCGACGCCGGCTCGCTTTGTGCTTAAAGCTCTGTGAAACCACCTAGTTCGTGTGCGGCCTTTTAGGATCGCTTTGCGTCTCTTTAACGTGAACGCGGTAAAGGGAACTTGATGGTTTTCCCTAAAAAATGCAACTTAGTAACCACTATGAAGTTGACGCTTGATTTAACAAATATATAGACTTTCTGCGATTGTAGCTCTGTGCCCACGGTCCTTAATTTTGCAGCATGGGCTCCCCTAAGCAAATAGGGGGCAAACAGTTTATCGAGCTTTCTTCTGTTTTATGTAACCGAGCGTGTGGCATTAGCGGATTTATCAGCTCTGCCTGTGCTTATGCAAGCCAAAGTGCCAAGCCTGGAAAATTTTGCAATCCCTCAGAATTCCTGAAACTCTTGGGGACTGGGAGATAAGGTGGCAGGTGCCTCTCCCTCCTCCCTTAAAAGGCAAGGAAGCTAACTACTGGGCTGTCAAAACTTGTTTCTCTTATTCCATGAGTGAAGCGCTGAGAAGTACTGGGCTTTGCAGAGAGGCGCATATCTGGAGTAAACATGTAAGCTGCCAACAAAGACCTGAGGGCAAGCCTGTGGATGTGCAATCTCTGCCCTGTAACTGGGGAAACCTCATGCTTGGATCTCTCCGCAGATGAGCGGCATGTTCGAAACCTGGCTGGGCAGCCTGGTCTCAGCCCTTCAGGAGAGAGAGAAGGATGCGAACGTGGTGGTGGTGGACTGGCTGGCGCTCGCCCACCAGCTCTATACGGATGCTGTGAACAACACGGAGGTCGTTGGGAAAAGCATAGCCAGGCTGCTGAACTGGTTACAGGTAAAACTTGCGAGAACAGCCTGTGTTGTAATGGTCAACGAAGGATGGTTGCACAAGGGGCCAGAAAGGCATTGGTGTAACCCTAATCCCCAAGGCTTAGTGCAACAGTGGCCCCCTAGCTAAGGAGGGGAAGGAGTCCTTCCTCCTGCATCTCCTCAGATTGGCTCAGGCGTACACAGCCCTCAGGAGCCTGAGCCATGCAAACCTGGGAGCCGGGCGCTCAAAGTCTGTGTCCATTCAGCAAGATGGATGGAAAGGGGAAGGGATATGCTCCAACACTGAACCTGGAGCTGGGGTGCCCAGGAACCATCCCTGGCCAGTATGAAGGTCAGCTGCTGTTGCTGGCTCTTGGGGGGAAGAGCATTCCTGATGCTGTTTAAATGAAGAACATCCTAATTGGGATTGAAAGCTGGGTGGTATGGTTGGGGCAAAAAAGTGCTGTGCAAATATGCATTGTGCATATGTCTTGAGGAAACAGAAGGAATGAAAACATGTTTGTCTCCCCTGCTCCCTCCAGTCTAGTCCTAGAACTGGATGTTAGATAGGTGAGTCCTGCAGATAGGAGCTGTGCAGATGTTCTGAAAAACATGAACAAATTATTTTCTTCCTGCCTTGCAGGAGAACCCTCTCTTCCAGCTTCAAAATGTTCACTTGATTGGATACAGCCTTGGGGCCCATGTTGCTGGCTTTGCTGGTAACCATGTCCAGGGGACAATAGGCAGAATTACAGGTAAGTGGCTCTTTCAGTGATCTTTCACCTTTTAGTAGCATTATCTCCCTGGAACGTTTCCTGAAGAGGCTTATTCATGGCATTGATGTGTTGCCACAGGCTTGCCTGTTCAGAAACAGCAAGCATCCTACCTGTGGTGGTAGTGGGGAGCACAGCACTCTCCAGCCACATCAGAGGAAAGCTCCTTAACGTAGGACAACGAACATAGAGATGCCTATGAAAAAAATCTCTTTCTGGGGACAACCTGCTCTTGAGTAGATTTGGAGGTTAGTTGTGGGTTCAAAGAAGTCCAGCTCAGGCCCTTCCTATCCATAGCCTCTTGAGTAGACGCTGTTTCCGTATTGGTAGCTCAAATTGACGGGGGCGAGAGCTATTGGGTGCAGTTTGCCCTATGGGACGTTTGGCCAAAATCCCCTCATTCTTTTATGTAACTATTTTATTAGAGGGTACTTTGTACAGAGTGCTTTCGATTCTGGAGGAAAAGAGACCTCAAATGTGAGAGGTTAAGATTGGTAGAAGGGGTTGCGTTAAGAGCCTAAATGCGATACTGGCAGTGAGAATTCATTAGTCTGGCAATAAACCTGCATATTGGTCGAGTCAAAAAGGTGACTGTTCAGATCACCTAACCATTACATCGAGAAATGGCTAAAGTGCACAATTTCAGGTCCTCAGTGAGGCTGAGGTTAACTTAAAGGCCAAAACCCATCATGATCTCAGATACAGGAACTACCTGCTGCTGCCTAAACTTTTATTAGTCCCTCTGTACATCCAGTCTGAAAATAGACTAAACATATCCAAAGTGGCCCTGGCTGCCAGCAGTCTCTGGAGTGCTAGACCTCTTAGTGTTCAGTCAACTGCCACCTCTTGAAGTGTCTCAACGCTTTGAGCAAAAACTTGTCATTTCCAGCAGGCAACATGAAGCTGTCTCTGTACATAGAGCAGACCAGTGCTAATACTGGGGTGTATCGCACCTAAGCGTTAGGAGACATCTTCATCTGCTTCCTCAGTGAGCCCACAGTGAAGAGATCTGGAGACAGTACCCACAATGAGGCAGAGAATGTCTGTGTAGCATGCGGGCATGAGGGCTCCTAGCGGCAGGCTCTTGGCTACTGCGTATGAAATGACCTGAGTTCTTACCTGGTGTCTTCTGTGCTGTCTCTAATCCTAGGCTTGGATCCGGCTGGCCCTATGTTTGAAGGAGTGGACCCTAGCAAGCGCCTCTCCCCCGATGATGCTAGCTTTGTGGATGTCCTGCACACCTACACCAGGGAAACGCTAGGCATTAGCATTGGGATCCAGATGCCTGTAGGCCATGTTGACATCTACCCCAATGGGGGAGACTTCCAGCCTGGCTGTGGACTAAGTGATGTCTTAGGAGCAATTGCCTATGGGAGTAAGTTCTTGTTACTACTTTTGCCTCTGGTCAGTGTAGACTCCTCACGCATAGACCGAGGTTGACGCTGGGGAACGATCCCATTTACAAGAGCAGAGAAAACTTTTTCCTTCTAAACTGCCTGTTCTACTGGAGATAGTTACTAGAAACTAGACCTGCTTTTAATTCTGAAGTAGCATGTTTTCACCCTAACACCTGATCAAAACCTCTGGTCCTGTTGTGCTGGCTCTGGAATCCTCTTTAAAGCTGACTGTGATAGAGACTAAGATCGGTCCTCTTCAAGTGTCTTGCGCTAACCTTTTGAATGGCTACTCTTTGAAAAATGTCAAATTTAGCCAAACTCAACTTCTGTTGGGCTAAAAAAAGCTCAGCTCGCTATGTCTTATGGCTGCCAAGGTGACGAATGCTTAAACAAAATGTATCCCTTGCAACTCTGCTCCTCTAGCTATTGGTGACGTTGTTAAATGTGAGCACGAGCGGTCTGTGCACCTCTTTGTGGACTCCCTTGTGAACCAAGATAAACAAAGCTTCGCGTTTCAATGTACTGATTCCAGTCGCTTCAAGAAGGGAATCTGCCTGAGCTGCCGGAAGAACCGCTGCAATGGCATAGGCTACAATGCCAGGAAAACTAGGAACAAAAGAAACAGCAAGATGTACTTAAAAACAAGAGCTGACATGCCATTCAAAGGTATGCTTTCTCTTAAAGAGCATAGTCTGATCTCTCTAAGAGTGGATGAGTGAGGTGACCGTTATATTCAATACTGAGGCAAACGTAGAGGTGGAAGAGTAGCATCACCCCCAAGAAGGGGAGCGACAGGCAGTAGAGCCTGCTGCTGTTACCTGGCTACACTACTGCTCTGGAGCATCACCGTGCTCCTTCCTCCATGTGAAATAACCAGGGCTCTGGCTGTAAGGACACGCTTGCTGCCTTCTAAGCAGGTCTATGGCTTACATGCTCCCTGCTTGCAAACCCACCTCTACCTTAGTGTGGTATGAGGTTTGGAGAGCCCTCCCCAGCATGGACAGAAGGGGTCCTGCAGCTCCATCTATTGTTGGGAAAATGTCAACTTTATAATTGGAGGCAAAGCAGGAAAAAAACCCTGATCTGTGATGTCTTGATATACGTATCTATATGGTGATGGACCCCTTTAAAAAGGGTCTAACCTTTGCCTGCCAGCACTATTTCACGAAGAGCCACGCTTAACAGCACTGGCTCTTCACGAACTTGGCTCCATCTATGCTATCCTTGTCTCCCTGCAGTCTACCATTATCAGATGAAAATGCACGTCTTCAGCTACAAGAGCTTGGGAGAGGCTGACCCCACCTTCTCCATCACCCTTCATGGCACCAATGGAGACTCTGAACCCTTCTCTTTAGAAATGTAAGTAAACTGACTTATTGCGCTCACTTCAAGAAGGTAACTGAGACTAGACAAAGACGAGGTGATGTAACTCCTTTTCTTCCAGTAACTGGAATTAAACTGATTGCAACTGATTCTAGCAGCCTCACTTTGCATTGCAACTGATGCATTGCAACTGCATAGATTCTAATGATAATGATTCTAATGCAACCGCATTGCAACTGATTCTAGCAGCCTCACTTCACCTTTCAAAAACTTTTCGTGGAGCAACTTCATTATAACTTGTTGCCGAGAAAGCAGTTTGTGCCCAGTCCTCTGCACATTGGTCTTCATGGCTCAGCGTTGAAGTTTTGACCTGTCCCTCCCTCCCTCCCTCCCTCCCACTTTGGATATAGTCTGAAAGCACCTCTACCTCGAGGTGGTGTTGACCTCCTTTACTTTGTTTCCTCTGGGACAGGGTATGACATTCACCTGTCTAATGCCTCCTATTAAACCAGCTATCCAAGCTCACTTTAATGATATCAGTAATTAACTGGTGGCAGTTGAACATAACGCACTTGATAAGCTGCAAAGGGCTGTCTTGAATGCCTTGCATTGAATGACAGAGCATCTGGCACTCTTCCATAAGGAAGAAATGTTGAGTCTCTGCTTATCTTTCAGGCTTGAGCGAATTGGCCTTAATGCCACCAACACCTTCCTGGTCTATACTGAAAAGGACATGGGTGACCTCTTAAAAATAAAGCTCACCTGGGAGGGAACTTCGCAGTCATGGTACCATCTATGGAAAGAGTTTAAGAGTTACTGGTATCAGCCTTCAAAGTCGCCCCAGGAACTGCACATCAGACGTATACGGGTGAAATCTGGGGAAACGCAGCAGAGGTAGGTAGTTGTGTCAAAATGCTTGTGAACTGACTCGAAGCTTCAAGAGGGGGCAATATACAGAATCCAGTAAGAACAGTGGTGGGGTTTTTGACCTTACCTGGTAGCCTGAATGCCCTTTCATTTTAGTGTTACCAGATGACGCTTCCTCATGGGGTAGGAAAGTGGGTTACTTGCCAATGTGAGATGTCCCACTAGGTTTTAAGCAGAGCTAGCAGAGCTAGACTAGATTTGACATGTTCTATTGCCTTTTTAAAAAAAGCATAGCACTGTCTCTTGTCCTTGGAGATTGAATTAGTCTCTTTTAAAATGGTTTAGATCATACCTGCAGGGTTAAAACACTGACAGTGCCAAGAACAAATACCAAAGCGCACATGAGGGAGGCTACTTTTGTTACCCGCATGATTTGCTGGCTTGGCAGAGCGAACCAGCTCCAACAAACGTGCAACCAGTAACACGGTAGCACCAACTACTTGAGCGCTAAGTTGCTCCTTCTGACATCCCTAACTGGCAAGCTACATGAGGCTGCTCACTGGCAACCAACAAGCAGAGATGCCAGGCCTGTAACAGGTCCTGAATCTTGTGCTGGTGTTGTGAAGGTAACCCAGATCTGTCAAATAACAGCAGTCGCTTTGACATTTCCCATGTTTCTCAGCTTTAAATAAGCAGCTATCATCTGCTAGGTAGTCTGCACCCTATTTTCTGAAATCTATGAAGCATGAGGGTAGCAGAAGCAAAGATGCCCATGTAAAATATGAAACTAGGAAAGGAGTTATTGCATCAGCTATTCAACAGAGTAATGGTGTATCAAGATGCTTCCTACAGAAAGGGTGTCAAACCAGACAACTCATCCTAGAATGAACGTGTCATATGGATTACAGCTATATATATATATATATATATATATATATATATATATATATATATATATATATATATATATATATATATATATATCACTCACGCAGACCACAGGTAACTTTTCTGATTCTTCCTCCTAGGTTTGCTTTCTGTGTGGAAGATTCCCAGCTGACCAGCATATCTCCTGGTAAAGAGCTCTGGTTTGTGAAATGTGCAGACAACTGGCAAAAAAGGTAGGATTTTGCCCAGCTGGTTTTCTCCCTATCTGATGCATGTGGCTGACATGAGTGCAGTCTTCCTAAAGGAAGACCACTAGAACCAACTTTTATTAAAAAAGTGGATAAATTTGAGCCTGGTTCCTGGCTTATTAGACTTAGTGATAGCCAGTGAATACACAGAAATAAACTAGGCAGATAACTAGAGAGTTGATTAGATGCTATACTCATTTCTGATCTCAGTTTGACTTCTTGCACCTTTTGGTGCTACCAGAACTCAAGATCCTTGCAACAGTGGAGAGCTAATTGGATGCCCCTCACCAAGGCATATTAGTCCTGTTTGCCTCTGGGGCACACCTCCAGACACCTGGGATCAGCTCTTAGACCTTGAGCCTGGCCCCAGCAGGGACAGCTTGTTGGCTTCAACTTACCTCTAGCAATGCTTCAGATAAAACCCTGTTAATTTGGCTGGATGACAGTCTCTTTCAGACTAGGCCCAGCCTCTTAGCCTCTCTTATCTCAGTTTGTAAACTTAAGGCTTTGATGCTCCTAATCAAGAGACAAAGCACTCCTCAGGTTAGAAAAGCCTCATGGAAGTAGTGTTTTGCACAACCTTCTTGGAAAGCAGAATTTGACTCAAATGCGAGCTGGTATGGTTCCAGGTTTGGGAAAAACCAGCAGGCTGTTACACATACAGTAGCAAACAATTTAATGAATGAGACCCCTATGCTGCTCTGCCACAAGTACTGAAAGATCAAGGAAATATTCCTGCAGGTACAATAAAAGGCTGTTTTGATATGCTTCTCAGTAACACCCATAAAACAGGAATTGCTGGCAGATGTGCCCTTCCTGCTTGCTGGCGGAGCACAGCTTTTGCAGGAGGCAGAGTAGAGCTGAGCTCCAAAGCAGCCAGGTTTCCAGGAAATGATCCTTCCTCTCTGAGCCCATGAGTGACTGCTGTTGGATTCTCCATTCCTGCCAAGTCCCTGAAAGATTATAGTTCCCTGCTTGGAGACTGTCTGTAAACATCTGTCTACCCTTGACTGGATCTGAATAGGCAGACTCTATCAAGACCTCTATTTGCAGCTATCTGCCTATTTGTTTGCATAATGTCAGCTTCACATTCCCACCGAGTTGCTGTTGGGCAAAGTGTTGCTCTTAACCTCTGTATTTAACTGGGTATTTTCTCCTCTCTGCTTTTCTTAGGTCTGTATCAAATTTACTCTGAAGACTTCCCTGAAGACTCACAACTGAACAGCCTAGATGCATGAAGACCACACAAGTGGGAAGATACTCCGGCAAAAATCTGGCTTGGTAGCACTTAAAGCAACTAGACCTTCAGGACAAAACATCTTGGAACAGATGCAAGAAACTGAGGAGCAACAGATGGACTGTGGTCCTAGACCTACAGTAACTAAAACTGCATTCTCCTTTTGTAGGAGCCTGGCTTGTGCATTTAACCTTCTCTTGATCTGTTACACTCTACATTTCCTTCCTGCTCCCATTAACCAGAACTACAGATGAAACCTTCACAGATCGAGGCCTCAGCAATGATCTACTGGTCTGCCTGCTAGCGGAGCTGAGAAGATAACCATGTTAGCTGACCATCAAACTGTTGGTGACAGAACTGCCAAGAATAAATTAGTGGCTAGTGTAGGGGTTACTGAGTCCAACAGCACTAAGGGCTGTGGGAAGATAAGACCACCAAATGTGTAAAGTTTGCGTGGGGAGGGATTTTCAGGGGAGGGAGTGGGGAATAAGCACAATGCTACTTATCTTCCAGCTGTCCTTTGCTTACCCTAAAAATCAATTACTGTATCTGGCTGATACAGAAATCTCTATAGGTCACCTTGTAGAGGAACTCCATCCTCCCTGTATCTAGGGCAAAACAAGATCCAGATACCAACTGATGGTGCTGGCAGCTGCTCCTTGTTCCCCGAGTCAGTGTCTGAACCAAGCATGTGCATTGCTATATGCTGAGCTTTTACTAAAAGGCAAATGGCAGCTGCCCATCCACTGACTAGAGAGGAAGGTAATGAACTGTCCTGTTTTGGGGGAACTTTGCTTTGGTCCTCTTAACTACTGAGAAAGTGTTCGCCTCTGTTCAAATGCTGCTGTAGTACCAGAGCATAATTAAGACCTTATTTGAGGCAAAGTACTTAACTGAGCCAAACAGACAACAGTCTACCCTCATTGCTGCAATGTCCTAGCTGGATTCCCTGGCTCCCAATGATCTTGGCTTTGTTCGAGTTGGACAGGTGCTCTACAGCTGTCCTAGTTGCTACAGCAGACCAGCCCTTGTCAGAGGTGAACTAGCTCCTTATTTTTGGAAGGACACGTGGTGTTACAACTGGGACTGCTCTTGAACTTGGGCGTACAGAAAGGCAGTCTCAAGCCATAGTGCTGCCACATGCTGAGCTAAGCTCTGGAGACTTAAATCATTTGAGGCCTATGGTTGACTGAGTTTTTTGTAGAACTTCAATCCAAGCAAAGCAAGCACATTTGGAGTTTTTTCCCCCCATGGTTTTATGCAAAGGCTTCAATAACTGAAGCCTTTGGTAAGTATCTGTGACTTGTCATGGTGCCATACTTACAGTGGTTCCAAAGCCCTATTTGTATATTGTGGTTTTTCTATGACTTAAAGCATTATTTATTTCTCATGCTGTACATATGTAAAGTTTTAAACACTTTGGTTTTGAGTAACAGTTTTTATAAGCCTTGAGACAAAAATAAAGGGCTTTGTAAGAAGCAATAAGGAGACTTAATTAATTAAGACATATCCTGAGCTTTGCTGGAACACCAGTATATGGCCACATCATCCCTCCCCTGCAGGTCACAGGCCAGCAGAAAGGAAGGTTTTTATGGCCCTTGCTGTATGGGGCTGTCACCTCAGCTGTGAGCACGCTGGACTTCCGAAGGATGGTGTTGCTAAGCTGAAACAAGCTAAGACAGACTGCCTCAGCTTCTCCCTGGCCTGACTTCCTGACGTGTTTTGGGGTTTTTCTTTATTTATTTTTTTCTCCTTAGAATATCGCTTTTTTTCCTGAAGTGTTTAGCCCATTGGTGACTGCTACATCAGCAGCTTAGTTTTTCCCAGCTTTGCTACCCACTGCAGCAGCCACACTACCACCTTTAAGGAAACATCTCAGGGTGATGTGCCTATCCGTGACAAGCTGGTGGCACCACTCCAGCAGCAGGACTTTGCAAACAAAGTAAATACCCCCAAGCTGGGAAAGATTTACATCAAATTACTTAGTTAACCTTTTCCCATGAAAAGCCAATTAAGGGGTGACTGCAAAGAAAACTGCAACTTTGTAGACTTGGCTGGTATTGATATTGTACTCCAGAGATCAAGCTTTGTCTGGTGTGTTCAAGCCAGGCCCATGGGTAAATAGACCACTTACTGAGCCAAGAGCCTCACTGATACCAGCACCAGAACCTGTTTCCCCTGCACTGCAGTTTATTTTGCTGTGAGATTCCCTTCCTGTAGCAGGGATGGCCACACTGCACCTGCAGCACTTCTGCTAGGGATAAATTCCTGGCTAAATCAGACAAATAATGTGTCTAGACAGCTGGGACTAGCGTTTTGCAGGCTCAGAGCACAACCCTGGATGCAGCTGCAGTGCAAGGGCAGCTGCTCTGTGTGGCTGCCTCCCTGCACAGCAAAGGGCCACCTGGGTCCTCCCGTGCGAGGCAGCAAGTCCCACACACGTACACAAACCCAGCAGTGGGAGAATCATTTCTATTGTCAGTCAAAAGCACCGTCCCACCCCCAACAAGGTTTATCAGGAATAGCTTTTCAGCAGCGATGCCATTCACACACACGCATCGGGTTGCTCCAAAGGTCAAACCGTCTCCGGAGGAACAACGTGCCCCACGCAGGGAATGCCTGACAGCCGCTCCGTGCCCCCTCCCCGGGCTGCGCCGTCTCCCGGCATCCCTTCGGCCAAGCCCTCCCCGCTCGCAGGGACGTGGCTGCAATCAGTGCACAGCCCTCTGAAGAGCAGCACATGTTACCAGGATGCTTTCTCGGGAGCTAATCTGGGTCCGAGTGGTGGGTCGAGTCTGAGTTTGGCTCTCCACCCTTCCCTGGTGTAACAAGCCCCTTCGGCAGGTGCCATAAGCCCCAAATGCGTCTCAGTTAGCCCAAGTCCCTGCACAAGAGGTGCCGTCTGTCTCCAAGACGGCTTCCAAGCTACAAAAACAAAAAAAACCCAAAAAACTAACCAACCAAACAAACAAAGTCTTGTAGAATAAATTCAGCACAACAGCTGTGGTGGGAAGAAAAGATCAGCCAATTCTTTCAGGAACAAGAATCGCACATTTTTGAGCAGCTTCCAAAGCCAGAATAACACAGCAGCCCTAGTCCATACCAGGTAAAGCTGGTCCCCAAAGGCAACCTCAGCAAAAGATTGTTGCGACTGTCCAAGAAACCTGAGCATCTGCCCTCAGACAACAACAGTAATGAGTTGTAATTTTACGCCTGTTCAAATGCTGACATTCCAACATAAATTATCCAGCTCAGTGACTTCCAGGCAACGCGAGCTAGCCCAGCGGCAAACACAAAGACTCCGGCAACTTCTTAAAATCCATGAGAAAGCATCAGGAGACTTTATGCTGCACAGAAGGATGGGTAAAGCAGCTTGGCCCAGAACTGACCCAAATTTAAAACAAGACCACTTTATTGCTCAGTTATATGCATCTATATCTGTATATATATACACACACACACACTGCTTGATCTCTATTTTTTTCTGATCTAGGTTATTTTGCAGATGTTTTTTAAAACTTCAGGACTTTAATGGCAAACCACATAAAGACGACAGAGTGCAAACACTCAGAATCCTTTTCTTCTGACATGATCCGTAACAAGAGCAGAAAAGGAGGAAAAGGAACCAGTGAAGTACGGCATTCCAGGCCACACTGCTCCACCTCCCCTGGACAGCTGTACTAATTATTGCAATCAGGCAAACCAGTTCAAACAGAGTTAGAAATGACACAAGACTTGGACCACATCTTAAGGAAGAAAATCAACTAGATTTGCTTTATTTCCATATGGCTTTCCATATCCTGTTTTTGGCTGAGAACAGACCAAATTGTTGACAGAAAGCCCGCTTTCACCTTAACTAGAACTAGACAGCTATACCGAAACAATCTTCCTCCTACGCCATAAAAGCTGCAGATGTTAATGAGAAGACCCTTGCTTTGCAACACTCTATGAAACAGTGAGATCTGTCAGTTCTTTGAATAACCCAGTAAGAAAAACCCATGGAAAAGCTGGAATTGCATGCATTGCAATGGAGGGGACTTGCAACGGCAGATCTCAATGCTTGAAATTTCTCTCTGTTTCAGAAGCGTGGAGTGACCTGCTTTATGGAGGAGTAAGTTTATGCAGAGAGTTTGTTGGTCTCTATAAATAGTTTATTAGCGTTGACTGTAGTCGAGGAACACATATCCGCATTGTGAAAGGCGCCACCACCAAGTGTCACTAACCCACACCGCTGTGGGTGATTATCTCTGGGCATAAGCGAAAGACAGAGCAGGTCTGCAGATGGCTTTACAATGGGTCCAGAACAACCTTGTGATTGCACAGGCTGGGAGGACACTTGGGACTGAGCGTAGCACGACTCAGTGATCGGGAAGGGCCACAATCCTCAATGTGTTAATATGAGAATAATTAAAAAATCAAAACACAAATCCAGCAAAATCAACTGATGCCACACCAGAATTAACAGTTTGGCATTAAGAGTGCTCATCAGGTCGGTGACAGAGACAAAACCCACGTGTCTTGACCCCAGATGACTGCTCAGCCCGCACCCTAGAAGAGCGCCAATACACGGTCTTCCCTTCCGAGCAGCTTTCATGCACAGACAAATAGGTAAAGAGCTTCTTTCGCTTATTGAAGCTTTCTTCTGCTCATTCAGCCCGGTCTAATGTGGCCTACAACCCTCCCAACCCCAATAACCTGCCAGAAAGTAAAAGAAACTAAAAACTAGGGACGTAACTAAGGTGCGGAAAGGGAGGGAAGGCCACTCAGCATTGCCAATGGTTATTATGGCAAAAGGGCTATTATTCAGGAAAGAAGTGTACGATATGTAAAAGCACTACATTCTCTTTTATGATTTCGGTAAGTCCAAAGCAGGGTCATGCAAGCTTTTCTGTGAGTAACGTCTGCCAAGTTTCCCACTCGCCAAGACGACAGTTGCTCCTCACCCTTTGCCATGCATCCTGTACAAGTCCAGGTTTATCCACAGGGACGCTGCTGAAACGATGAGCACAGTTCAGCACAGGCACAGGCCTTCCCAGGGCTGGGAGCGTGAGGGCCTGGCTGGAGTCCCTTTGAAATCAGTAGGAGTTTCTTCTCCGACTTCAGCAGAGGTTCAATGGGTTTTAACACACAGAGAGGTGCTGGGCCAGGAGGGGGACAGAACGTGAGCGGAAATGCCTAGGTGAGGGCACATGCTGCACTTTGCACGACTGGTTGCAAAAGGCGTAAGCTTAGAAAATTAAAACTTTATATACATTTTTTCCTCCTGTTTCTTCTTCCCATCATCCTCAGTTACTGGCCTAAATTCCTGTCTTAAGTCCAAGCCACATATTGCCTCCAAGCTAGCTCCAGCAACAACATCAAAGTGCTGACCTAGACTGATTTAGCGCTCCGGCCAACAGCTACTTAACAGGACAGGATGAACTTTATATTTAGTGTATCTTGTCAAAATTGAGCCAAAAGAAGCTCCGGTTTTTCAGTTTGATCCAAAGATCCTCAGTTAGCCTTTGCTGTTCTGGAGCAGGGTTTTAGTATTCCTTAAATTTCTTCCCCCTTGGAAGACCATGAGAAATACCTGGTGAAAACCTGCCAGCTGCATGGGAGAAGCAGTGAAACTTCTTGTATAAATGAACTGCTGTCAAATGAACAAGGAAGAAAATGAGGGGAAGAAAAACAAGAACAGATAGATATTATCTCCTTAAGATAACAATTGTTAGTACCCAGAATGTTTTTCCACTTAAACCAAACTTGTGTATTTCAAAAAAAAAAAAAAGAAAGAAAGAAAATTGAGGACGACTGCATTAATTCAGATCACATCACGTACAGAACATTGGAGCCAGAGCTGAACTGTACTACATATCATTGGTTTCTAGAAATGGTGTAGACGACTTCACTCTTCTGTTAATTCTGTGCAACTAGAACTCCCCACATCTTGCAAGAGGCTACCTCTAGCTGCATTTCTGCAGATGTTTCTCCTGCTGCCTGGCTGCAGTTTGGGGGTATTTGGGTCCTCCCAGCCCCTTTGGGGAAGATACAGATTTTCTGGCAGAGCAGTAGAGCCTTGTAGGTAGCATCCTGGTCCTCAGCTCAGTTATTGAACTATTTGACCCAGGCCTGAATAACTGGGCCCAAACTGAGCCAGACTGGAGATAATTCCTGGGCTAGAGAATTAAAACCCTCAGTGCTCTGAAGTCCAAGCTGTAGCGGCAGCAGCAGAGCCAGTGCTTGCTGGTGCCCTTGCTGTGGCTCACCCCTGAGGGCAGCACTCCACCTCCACCCCACACTATGGCCCAGCCTGTCCCACAACCCAAATGAAGATCTGGGACACTTCACTGCAAAAGGAGCAGGACAAGAAGACAACGTCCATGCTCCCCCAAGGCCAGCTCTTTCTCCTTTCATGCTTTGGTCTCTTCCTTCCACCTTTGCTATCTCCCCTGTTACCCGTGCTGTTAGCTCCTCTCCACCATTAAAT